AGTTTCAGAATAAAAAAAATGAGAGTAGAACATGGGTAGGGTTACCAGATAAAATAAACACACAGTTTAAAATTGAATTTCAGATAAACAACGAACAAGTTTTTTTATACTTCTCACTTTGGATATAGCACTTATATAAAAAAGATACTCATTGTTTATCTGAAATTCAAATTTAATAAGGCATCCTGGATTTTTTGTTTATCTTGTTTGGTGTTTGGCTAAATCTGTCAACTCAATCTCCCCTAGGCCTGGGGAAGACAGGATTCTGAAATACGAAAGGAGAAAACATTTACAAGGTTTTGCTTCAGGAGGTAGAATTTGGAGAAGATTTGGAATTAAAGACCATTTACTAACTGTATTGCTGCAAAAGCTTTACATTAATTTAAATCAGTTAAACCTCCCAGCAACCCTACGTGGTTAATACTAGAAATACTTATTATTTTACAGATGATGAAACTGAAGCAAAACAGATTATCAAACATTTGATTTCACACAAATAGCAAATGAAAGAACCAGGATTCAACCCCAGGCAGCCTGACTCCGGAGCCTGTGCACTCAACCATTAAATTATAGTACTTTTTGATAAACTTCTGCCCCAATCCTTCTCATCTCCCTGAACACTCTCTCCCGTGGGAATTTGAGAGTTGGCACACTGACGTTGAGCTAATTTTTTTATTATAGTTTCAAATGCTCTCCAGTGGGCAGAGGCTGGGGGTTTGGTTAGAAGTTTGGTGAAGAACTAGTCGTTGTTCCTTTATACGCACGTCATCTTCCTCCCTGGAGGAAGGACTGGAAGAGGCATGAGACTTCATTAAATGTGATCACTCTTCATATTTTGTAAGCCAAACCCAGGAGATGAGTAAATGTGAAGCCACGGAGCAGAGCAGTTACAAGCACATGTTCTGGCATGATATAAAATCGAACTTAAGTCCTAGCTCTGTACCTTGTTAGCTGGGTGACCCTTTGGGAAAGTTACTTAACTACCTTAAGCCTCAGTTTCTACATCTGTGAAATGAAGATCCTCGAAATAGTAGCTACTTTATAGAGTTATTGTAAGAATTAAATAAGCTCAAGCATGTCAGTTAGTCGGCATACAACCAGGTACAAACTATGTGCTTGAGAAATTTGTCATGTGATCATAAAAATCTACACTAATGACAAAGAGAAAAATGAATACCGTTGTTGGTTTTTGCTTTTCCTGTTGCGGTGGTGGTGTTGGTGTGTGTTTATGTTTCTGTCATGTACTTTTTTTTTCTTTTTTAGAACTATTTATTTTCTTTTTTAGAATTTTTTAAAATTTATTTCTTTTTATTATGGTGACATTGGTTAACAAAATCCAGTAAGTTTCAGGTGCACAATTCAACAGTAAGGCAAATATATATTGCATTGTGTGTTTACCACCCATAGTTAGATTTCTTTCTGTTACCACATATTTGACCCCTTTTACCCAATCTACCTCCCTCCTCCCTCTTTATCCTCCACCCTTTGGTAACCACTAGTCTATTGTCCAGGTCCATGAGTCTCTGTTTGTTTGTCCTGTTCATTTGTTGCTTTTAAGTTTATATTCCACATATAACTGATATCATGTGGTTTTTAACTTTTTCTCTGGCTTATTTCACTTAGCATGATTATTTCAAGGTCCATCCATGTTGTTGCAAATGGCAGTATTTCATCTCTTCTTATGGCTGAGTAATATTCCATTGTATATAAGTACCACAGTTTCTTTATCCCTGTCATGTTCTTAAGATGCTCTATTTATATGCTCTATTTATAATAAATTATTCTCTCTCTCTCTCTCTCTCTTCTTTTCCTCCTTCCCTCCAGGTGCTCGGCCAGTTGTGTATATGCAGCATGCCCTCTTTGCAGACAATGCCTCCTGGCTTGAGAATTATGCCAATGGCAGCCTTGGATTCCTTCTAGCAGATGCCGGTTATGATGTCTGGATGGGGAACAGTAGGGGAAACACTTGGTCAAGAAGACACAAAACACTCTCAGTGACTGAAGAGGAATTCTGGGCCTTTAGGTAAACTGTATTTAAGAAAAATCGTGAAGAAAGTTTGAGACAATTTCTTTGAATATAATAGCGCGAATGATATTAATAATAATCCATGATATTTGAAGTCGCATTGTTCCTTGCAGCGCCTACTAACATCTCAAAGGAGAGAAATAGCAAGAAGCTTTGATTTCTACTGATTCTGTCACAGGCAAATTGTATCATTTTAACAAGATCATTTTAACATCCAATTCTATCCAATACTATACGTTATAAATATGTCCGAAAGAATAGTTGAGGAATTTCCTATGACTAATGTATGCACTCACTCAATGTTTATTGAATGCCTACTATATGTACTTTTCTAGGCTCTGAGCATTCCAAGGTGAACAAAATTCCTGCCCTCACAAAGCTTATATTCATTCTGTTGCTGCTTATACAAGTCTTTTCTCTTAGACAGCCTACCCATTTTATAATGATGTGTATCAATACTATATTTTATTTAGAGAAACTATGGTTGAGACTGTATAGAATATGGTTTTCAGAAAAACTCCAGTATGAGGTCTATAAAAACTTGTTAATGGGCAATGGAGAAGAATCTTTTGATACACTATTTCTTTCAATGAAAGTGTTTTCTGCTGTCACCAGAGCACAGGATAATGTCCACAATAGGCTTCCCTTCATAGGCCCAAGCTCCCTGTTAGCTTGCAAGCCTGCTGCTAGAATGGAGCGTGTATTCTTACCATATTAATGAAATACTCAGCACCCACTGACAGATTAAGAAGAAAGGAGGGATAGCATAAATTGTTAAGGTTTGAGTTTTTGGGAAGTGGTAAGCATTAGGAAATATTTTATATCACTGGTCCTTGGCTGAGAGCTTGGAGCTTGTATACTGTAAGGTATCACAATTCTCTTATACTTAGGAATATTAATCTAGAGATTTCTTCATATATTTTTTTAATAAACAGGCCTCTAGCCATGAGATACCTGACTCAAGTAAATGTTATATAGGCCTTTTAATTCTCTTGTATTAATGCCAGCTGAACTGGTACTATAGTATATGTTGGATATATCTTTATATGGACAGAAATATTAATAATAGCAACATCTAACTGAGTGCCTACTAACAGCTAAGAATCATTCCTTTAATACTATCCTAACCCCTATAATATCCCTGATATACAGCAGGTACTATTATGTTCATTTCACAGATAAGAAAACTTAAGCTCAGAGCATTTAAGTAACTTATCAAAAGTTACTCAGCTATTACATGGTAGAATCATTATCTACAACCAGTTCTATTTCCAAAATAGGATATTAAATAGCCGTAAGAGCCTTGAAGTCCTCTGGAGGAGTCTAAAGTAGAAGCATGCAAACTAGATGGAGAAAGGAAAGTGAAAGAAATGCAATGTAAGGGAATGAAGAGGAAGAACGATAAGACTGACTTTGGGTAGTATACACAAGTCTGGAAATCATTCCTGCCATTAGAAAGTAAATGCAGCAAACAAAAGTTACAATAGCCTACCTGTAATTGGATAAATTATGAAGTACACACCAAATAAGTGGAATACAGAATTCTGTGTGTAAAAAATAAGTGAGCAAATGCCATCGGAGTTTTAAACTTAGTTGCGAGTATTTACACGCTCCTGTTTTATTTTGCAGTTTTGATGAAATGGCCAAATATGATCTCCCAGGAATAATAGACTTCATTGTAAACAAAACTGGTCAAGAGAAGCTGTATTTTGTTGGACATTCACTTGGCACTACAATAGGTATGTTTATAAAGGTCGAGGTTTTACAAGGGTCAGAGTCTTGCAAAAGTTCATCTTTAAATTAGAACAGAGTTACTACCATTTATAGTGCCCTTAATTCTCTGTCTTATACTGGGCACAAAATCTTAATAGCTATAAACCTGGATTTTCAGAGATGGTATTTAGGGCAAACCTTTCCTCCATTTCTGATCACAAAAGCACTTTTGTAATGGTAATATAATTTCCCAGAACATGTATCCAAAATCCAAAGAAGTAAAGCTTAATGCGATGAAATGTTCCTGAAGAGCACATCGATCTTAACTTCTTTTTTATTTATATTTGAACAAATTGAAAAGATATAATCACTTTTTTTTTTTGAGTTGGAACACAAAAATTACTCTCATACACTAAATAGGTAAGCCTATTTGACTTATTATAGTAAGTCAAATAGGCTTACCTATTTAGTGTATGATCTAATATTTATGGGGTAGCAATTAAAAGTAAGCACTATGTAGAAATATATATATTTTTTTATTTTTGAGACTCTGATCATCAAAGATGTACTTGTTAGTAATTTTCTAGGTCTTTTTGGGGGGAAATCAATAATTTAGCTTCAAATAAAAAATTAAAGGAATCCATACTATTGAAAGTGTGAATTTGTTAGTGAACTTCCACTAAAGCTTTCAATTGTAAGATACCGAGTTATGTGAAATGTAATATTTAAGTATGTGTGAAATTGTGCAAGAGATAATAAATATTCTTATCGTAGGCTCATTATCACCATAATCATCAACAGCAAATATGTTTATCAGTGTTTTATATTGACAGGCAGCTTACAAGCTTGAAACAGGCAGTGAACATCAGAGAGACTATTCTAAAAGGATATCAAAAAACTAATAGGATATCAAAATAAACACACACAACTGCCACTAACAGACAAATAATTATACTATCATAGCAATACTTATTGAGCGTTTACTAGGTGTAGGGCTCTGTGTTCAGGACCTTTCCCACAATATGTCTCTCTAAGCTTTAAAACAATCCTACTATTATTATTTCCATCTCATAGAAGAGGAAATAGAAGTTCAAAGAAGTTAAGTGGATTGCTCAAAGTCTCTTAACACAAAAGAGACAGAACATAGATTTACACCAGGTCAGTTTGATATCACCAGTGAGGTGCTTGGGCATTGGATGCAGCAAGAATGACTCGAGTAGGGGCTAGAAAACTGGGTAGGACTTAGATATGCTCTTATGTCTGCTCTGCAAATAAAACATAGAAAATTTGATGTTCAATGTTCTGCACTTCATCTGGGGCATGAAATTTTTCAGTAAGCATTATTTGCATTTTGGGACAGAGCAATTTTCATTTTGTGGGAAGGACCTACTCTTTGCAGGACATTTAGCAACCCAAGTACCAGCTCACTAAATGACAATAGGCCTCTTTAGTCAGTCAGTATAACCACCAAAAAACTCACCAGAGATCTTCTAGGAGTAAGTGCTGTGCCTGTTTCAGAGTCAGTTGCTCAGTCTGTTGATACAAAGTCAGATCTTTTTTGGCCAAGACAG